TCGTGTTAATTTAAAGACTCCTCCTTTATCTTAACGCCCCGAGACTACGATTGATCGGACGGTAGAGTCTTCGCTCGATCAAGGCGGACTTCACCCTAACGGTATTTTATAATTTGCACTTCTGCAACATCCTATATTCTCACATTCAACACGTTGTGTGCTGTATTCAACGCATTCGCGGCGTTGCGCGTCGACGCGTTTTTATTGGCGGCGTAAAGCGCGCGGCTCCTTCGGGCCGGTTCGCGACGACAGAAATAATTTCTCTCTCTCTCTCTCTCTCGAAGATGAAGATATCTCGGCGAGATATCGCGCGAATACGCGTAGCACGGAAGGTCGAGGTGCAGCGCATGAAAGTTAACGGCCGACCAACCGCGTTACTCGTTCACCGGCGACCATGTTAGCAATCTTTGTACGGCGATCGGGCCGCGAGTTGCATCATTGCGCAAGGGATTCGCTTGCAAAAGGATGAAGAAAAAAGAGAAGGTGGAAAGAACACCGTCGCGCGTTAACCGAGTGCCTGCTTAACATAAAGCGTGCATCGGTCCGTTCACCGCACCCCACAGTCACCGATGACTTCATGCTACGTTCGCCTGTAATGTCAGTCATTAACCGACCGATCGTCCGCAGAAAAATTAATCGAGAGGCGGCCGTGTGCGTATCCGCGAGATACCCGATCGTTAGACCGAGGAACGCCGCGGAGAGGTTGTAGGAAATTGAAGTATTCTCGCGCGCTCGTGTGTGGTATTCATTTCTCCCTTGGATCGTTAATTGCTAAGTATATTGCTCGTCGTAAAGGATTGCCGGTGAAATCTTCATCTTGCCGGAGACGCTCGTACACACCGGCATCGATTGAAATTGCACCCGTGCTACTGTTTGTCCGCGTACACCGCGAGGAAAGATCCGTCGGAAAGAGAAAAAAATATTTATCCGGTGGATACTGATAACATATTTATTGAAAGCTTAAATCCGGGGTGTCCACCGTCTGGAGAAACTGTCCGAAATTCTCAGGGAATTTTGCATTGAATATCTTCTTATCTTCTCCATCGAGAATCGTGGAAAAGAACTGTTCTCGAACATTTTTCTGGAAATGAGCACACTGGTTACATCGAGATAAATTCACTTGAATTAATTACTTTACACGCGCGAGGGATCTCCCCTCGAGCGATCGCTCCCGAACAGTCGTTTATGCCGTTAGATCTGGAAAATAGCTCGCCCTATGCGAGATCCGGAAAACAGATCGCGTGGACGGACACGAAATGCAGGGCTTTCACCCGCGCGACCCCAGATAGACCGGCAGCCATGTTCCGCGAGTATCTGCGTTTGGTAGCCGATAACGCGGTTTCGTTGCGTGCCCGGATCGAGTGGCAACATCGGAGTGCCGGCCGTCGGAGGCGAAATCAATTAACTTCGGTAACACGTGTGTGAGCAGACACGCAAGAGTGTGTCGCACACGCGCGCGGGTGGGGGGGNGGGGGGGGGGCGCGTATCACGTAGTACGCATAGTACGCGCCGCACGATGCGTCCACACATGCGTGTACAAGGTGCGTCCGAAATCACGCACTTTACCCTCGATTCCCCGCGACGAATTCTCCGTTCGTGGTCTTCCCGGCGATAATTCAATATCGAGAATGCCAATCTCTCCCTCTCAGTTCTCGACATCGAATGTCTCATCGAGATAGAACCGCGAATTATCAACTGAACTTCTCGACATCCGCGTCTTGGGAAAAATACGTGACTTTTGAGACATCCTGTACATAGTGGCCTGTACGAGGCGCCTATAACGCGTGCATTAGCCGCGTGGGTTGCTATGGGCAACCCGTGACTAACACACGTTCCAGCATCACGTCTCTCACCCTTCTCCTCTCTCTAACCATCTCTCTCTCTTCGTCGGTCCCTTTCTGTTGTTCCCTCTCTCGTTCCATCCTGTATCGGGGATCCAGTGATGTAACAGTCATTGCGTTGGAACTCGGGAATTGATGGACGATTTCGGCGAGTGGAGAAATTTCAAGTTCAGGTAACGTCGCGTCACCGCGTGACAATCTTAAGAAAGGGTTTTCGAGTCGAGTCGCGCGCAATAAGGTCGTCTGTCCTCTTTCCCGCTTTTCACACCATTTACTGCAGTGCGAGAGCGCGAGAAATATTGTTTCGAGCGATCGCAATTTTCGTGAACTTTTCGAACGATTAAAAAATTAATAATTTCGCGCATGTTCAGCAAACTATATGTTTATTATACGAAGCGGAGCGTTAAACAGAAGGAGTGAACGTTAAAATATTTTCCTCGGCTTTTAGATAGAATTTAGACACTTAATATTCAATACGACTGATTAAATAATCAATTCCTTCGACGTACGCTAATTAAACGCTTCGGTCATCACATTTAATTATTCGTGAATATTTATCCCACAAACCTGCTTGGTACGTCACTGTGAACCATCTCTCTTCGTCCCGTGCGACACGTTTATCCTTCCCAGGGACACTCTCGCTCGTTTCTTCTCTCTTCTTCTCGCGCTTGGCGTATCTCTCTCCCTTTCCCTACTCCCTCTCTTTCTCTCTTCCTCTCTCACGCCCCGTGTCCTAGGTTAGCATTTGATATCCTCTTCGTGCCTGCTGGGAACACGCCGGTCCTCTCCCTCTCAGGAGCGGATCTGTATGGAAGCTAACGAGACTCCGGCTCTTCAGCTTTCCCAACTGTCAAGGACCCGTGTAATATTTCCGTCTGAAAATATGTCGGTCGATTTTTTTATTCGTTTAAAAAATTACACGTTGCCTTTGGAGTAAGAGGATATATATATATATGTGTGTGTGTGTGTATGTGTGTGTGTTTCTCGCTTTGTGGTCCTGTTGAAGCAGGCCGAGAACGACCAGTATCAGGCTCCGAGAGGTCAACGTTCACCCCTGCTCCGTTTCGTCCGGAGAACCCAGGGATGTACCCGCACTTCATTACGGTGCAACGACGCGTGACCGCCGAAACGCCGCTTACGCAATGTTTTCCGTACCTACCTACGAGGCGTCGTCGATTATCGATTTTACGATGGTCACACTCGCGCGCGCCTAGCCCCCCCGGCGTCGATGTATGCGCGACGCTACCTCCGCGCTCTACGGCCTCCCTTATGAGAGATCGAATTTCTCGGCCTTCCGTGACGATGGCTATCGATGCATATCCTGGCGTAATTAATTGCCGCGCGTTCAAGGGGAAAAAAACATATCCGCACGGTGAATCCTCGAGTATTAGAGTTGCGGGAGTTGCTTGACTTTTCAACTGAAACGGTGTCTCGGTAAAATTGATTTATCTCAGAACGACGATATTCAAGATAGGTGTTTGACGTCGATGCGAATGATATAATATGTATATTAATCAAGGAGAGATAAAATCTTGGCAAAATGTTAGCAAAATTAGATCTATTTATTTGATTTCCGTGTCGCGTTAAAAATCGAACTCGCTAAAATCTATCTCGGACAACACCGGGATCGGCACGAATCCGTAAAAACAGAGGTGCCGGTTACGGGAGGATCCTTCAGGACGGTGCTTGGGTCTTGGCTGAAATGGGATCGTCCCTGAACCCATGGCAGCGCCGTACCGAAGGGGAAGGGGTCATGGAACCCACAGAGGGGGGAGGACCATGTCATGGTGGGGGTGGATGAGGCATCAAAAGAGCGAGAGGGTCCTATTGGGGATGCTGGCCGCGAAAAGGGAGACGGAGATAAACGCGGCGTACCTTCGACCACCACCATCCCCTCGTCGCTCTCTTTTCCTTGCTCTTCTCCTACGTTCTCTTCTCTCTTCTGTTCAGCTCTGTCCGCAGTCGTTGCTTTCCGGTCGGCTTCGGATAGAGAGAGAGAAGGACGGCGTGTAGAACGAGAAGGTAGCTCTAGGAGAACGAGCTAAAGGAAGAAGGATGATGGAATGCGAGCTGAAGCGAGATGGAGGGAAATGACATGGGTGTCTGAAGAGAAGGAAAGAGAAAGTCACTGGGAGGGAGAACAGCGGGGAGATTCAACAAGAAGAAGACAGAGCTAATAAGAGAAACAGAGAGAGAGAGAGAGAAGAGAATGAGCAATTCTTGCTATAAAGACGACTGTAAAGACTACTGAACCTTTGCGAGAGCGCTAATCGTTAAGAACGCTTTCGCTGGATGTGCGAAGGAGGAGAACCGGGAAAATGATCGGGAATGAAATTCCCGCAGGACACGAGGAAGTAGAGACGACGTACTGGAAAAAGGAGGAGAGACAGGAGCGCGAGGGACACGCCGAGAAGGATCAGGAAAAAGAAAGAAGTAGTAACGAGGTGTTGCCAGTCCCAGGTCGAGGAAACTCAATCTTCCAAAATTAAAAATACAATCGTAAGGGAAAAAGGGAGACAAAGATAGAAGGACGAGAAGAAAGAAAGATAGATAGAGGGAAAGAGAGAAAGAATGAGAAGACGAAGGCTCGCAGGCACGGATAGAGTCGGGCTCCCCTTGACAAGAGAGAAAGAGAGTCCCAGCGGGGGTTTCGAAGTGCAAGAGAGAGAGAGAGAGAGAGAGAGAGAAGAGGACAGAGGAGCCAGAGCATGGAGCGACCAGATGAGGTGTGTTAGAGCGAGAAGGAAAGAAGAGGGGAGAGCTATTCGGGGGAACGACAGACGGAGAAAGGAGAGAGAGAAGGGTGACGAGGCGAGTGGCGAGGGAAAGAGGCCGGCCAGAGGACAGAAGGAGAAAGAGGACGAAATGGCGCGAGTGAGACGGAGCGTAAGAGAGAGAGAGAGAGAGAGAGAGAACAGAGAGACCAGGCAGCGAGTGCGCCCACCAAGCCGCCTCCATACCACCTCCAGCATTCCCAGCCTGCACACACAGTTGCAGCTGCACCGCCGCCGTGGCTCGCTCGTGTGCACATGCGGGGACTGCGCGCGCGTCTCTCTCTCTCTGTCTGTCTCTCTCTCTCTCTCTCTCTCTCATTCGCATAATATCTCTCTCGCGGGTACTCTCTCGCGGATACACGCACACGTGCACATATCCGCACCATTACACCGCGCAACAACGTCGCCGGTGTTGCAGTTTTAACGACGCCGGTCCTTCGCGTGTGATCCTGCCGCTGGACGAGGAGGAGGCTGCCGACGACGACGACGTGTTCGTATCCCCGCGTCGTTTCGCTCCGGCCATTATCGCTGACGTAAGTTCGCGCCCAGCTGGACTCTCCTCGAAGGTCACTGATCGAGCCGTCACCGTTTGACCGTGTCGTACGTTAACTCGACTCGCGGCACACACCGGATCGGAGCGGATTCGGCGACACTTTCGCCGGCGTGAATTCGTAATCGGGCGGAGAATCGCGCCGCGGCGGGCGAATCGATATATCGATCCCGTCGCTCCTGCAAGATTCATCGCCGGCTAATCGGATTCCCCGGGGAGCGTTCTCGCGGGTTGACATTGACAAGTGCCGATCAAAACTCGCTCTCGTCGACGTTAATTCGCGGGCGGAAGGGCGAGCCGCGCGCCGCCGATGCAAGATTCATCCGCGGTCGGGTCGTCCTCGCAGTCCTCGCATCGACACCGAGCAGTACCGACGTGTGTGCGTTCTCACCGAGCTAACTGCTTCGTCCAAGGAAGTCCCTTCGTTCTCAGCGAACTTCCGTTTCGGACCGTCATTTCCCCGGGGCTCTCGTGGCGCAGAAAGCGCGAGTGCAAGAGAGAGAAAGAGGACCGATCCAAGAGCGCGAGAGCAGAGTGCAAGCGAAGTGCAAGCGGAGTGCAAGCGGTGACCAGCGCGTGCCGGCCTTTTTGCCTGTATTTCCCCGGCGAGTCGCACGGCGCGCGGAACACGTGCGAATCGCGAGGCGAGAGAGAGAGAGAGAGAGAGAGAGAGAGAAGTGCATTATCGATCGCCTCCCGTGGCCGCAATCTCGAGAAGCGTGTCTCGTTAGTACAATATTCAGCCGGCCTACCAGCAGTGGGAGGAGGAGGCTTGACATTTTGCAAATGTCAGCCGCGACCGCTGGCGTAACTTCCGCGTAATCGGAGCGTGGCCGATAAACGATAAGGGAGCAGCTCGAGGTTTTCGTGCTGCCGAAACCGCACCGACGTTCTCAACCGCTCCTTTCTGTTTCCTTTTTCCCCATTCGATTTTCCGCCAACGAGCCGCCGAGAAAGTGACGGTCAAGTTGAGAGCGATGACCCGAGACACGTGATCGAGAGGTGCGAAACCGGAAGTCGGAAGAACGGAAGCTCTTGGTACGCTCGGGACTCCAGGAAAGTATCTCTCGCCATGGACTGGATGAGGAGGCAGGATATCAAGGAGGAGCCGCAAGAAGCTCCTAACGCCTTGACGCCGGAAGACGACGATGAGTGTTACTTCGAGGAGGATGTGTCCATAGACGAGGGAATGGTACGTGTGGTCTTTACGCTGCGATTACACCGTGATTATTCGGAGAATTCATTTCGAATACCACCTGCAAAATATTCTCGTAGTTATTAATATTCTTATTTATTATCTACCGATATATTAATATATTAATATTATATATATATCATCACCGATCAGAGGGAAATTAGCTGTCCATATGATACAACTGAAATCCAATTACCAGACCTAATTTTTAGCTCTGGCTGTCGCTTCCTTTCCCGTGACAATCTATTATTATATTAATATTCTCTCTCTCTCTCTCTCTCTCTCTTTTTCTCAAGAAAAAAAGAATCGTATATAAAATCGTATAAAATTCCCGGTACGCGCAATATAAACATATCCGTCGTGTTACTCGCCATGGAGAATCGTGGGGCAGTGTGCCAGTTTCGTCCTGCCGTGTATCGACGTTCCACGATACGCAAATGTGAATGTATTAATTGAAATAAGTCCATTAAGATAAGATGAGAGAGCCAGCGTATGCGACAGCTGGTGCGGGTTCGAGTCGTCGCAATTCGAATCGGCGAATGTGACGGTCGCGCGTTTCTTCGTCGCGCGCCGGTCAAGGCGGAGAAATCTGCATACCCCGGATTGAGGGAGGACAAGGTCTCGCGAGACGCTCGTATCACGCGCTCCTTTAACAACAGTTGCATCAATAACAGCGCGAAAACCCACAGCGGTCCTCTCGCCGGGATATCACGACGTGTTGTCCGTGGACGTTAATAATACGTCGTTATCGACCGTTCGCTCATGGTCGCGCGATTATCGTCGCCGTGGCCGGCGCGTATCGCGGCGGACGTTTGCGCGCTGCGAATCTCGATGATTCGCGCGTATCACCGCTACCGTCATCGGTCCGATCACCAACGCGCAATTATATACCCGCGCGTGTCTTCCCGCGCGCGAGGATGTCCCGGCGAACTATCTCGCGTCATCTGCCGCGCGCCCCGTTCGGGAAGTCTCGAATTTTCTGCAGGTAATCGCCGGGCAGAAGTGCGCTCACCGTTAGGCCATTCGATTATATGTCGTCGTCCCTTCCCCCCCCCCCCCCCC